AATCTCATCCCTACTACACAACGCCTTCGCCAGGTTAGTTCGGACTCTGGAGAGCTTGCCTCTGTAAGGGCCGAGCGGGATGAGCTACGGGCAAAGCTGTCGAGTTTGGAGGAGGAGAAGCGCAACTTTGAGGAGCGTTACGAGCTCTTGGCTGGGGAAAAAGCATTTTTGGAGGAGAGGGTGGTAACTATGGATGGGTCAGTGGAACATTTCTATCAGGGAATCGAGGTCTTAGTGGAGGAGAAGAGGGTGTTAGAGGGTCAATTGAAGGATGTTAGTAGGATAGTGGAGGGGGAGGGCATGAGAAGGAAGGTTGTAGAGGATGATTTGAAGTGGCTACTCCAAAAGGGTGTTGTCTGGGTGGTGGACAAGGTGGTTAAGAGCGCCAACTTTTGTAACACCCCATTTAAAATAAAACGATTAAATAATAAACCCGAAACCCCGAGAAGTAATTATTATCATTATTTTATATTATAATAGCCCAAAATCAAATAATAATTAGCGGGGTGTTGGTTTCGGGAAGCCAAATGACAAGATTTGAATTTTCGGGGGTTAAAGTGTAATTTCGGGACTTATTTTGTAAAGATTTTCAGTAGTCAGGGGGTGTTTAGTATCATTTGGACTTTCATTGAATAGATTCTTGGGGGCAGGGACTAAATGGTAAATTCTGGACTTAATTTGAAGAGGTTTTGGATGGTTGGGGCTAAAAGGGTAAAATATGGTAGTTAAGTTGAAAGGAATGGGCTTGGAGGGGCCGAAGTTGTCAATAGGGAAAAGTTTGAGATGGGACGGCTGCGTATAAATTCATCACACATGCAACCCTAACCCTAACCCTAATGCAGCCGCCACCCTCCTAACCTCCGGCCGCCACCACCCCCTTCACTCCCTTTTTTCGATCAGCAAGACCACCGGCGTTGCCACCATGCTGAAGCTGGAACGCCCATCGTCAACTGCCGACGACAGCGACCACCAGAAACCGCCGCTCTTCTCCTTCTCCTTCTTCTCCGCCGTTGCTCCCGCTGCCGTGGCCGACGACGAAGAACCGCAAGTTGACACCATCACGTTACGGAGGACGGAGAAACAAAACTGTGGCTGTCACTATTGATGTTCACGGTTAAAGACGCACAAACCTCTCACCTCTCCTCTCCGTTTTGTTCGCTGCTACGTCGCCACCACCGATCCAAACGGCCACCTATTTGCGGTGCTCCGGTTGCGTCTGTCACCCCGAAGAGGAGGTGGGTGCGTGGTTACTGTTACATCTTGTGTTGTGCGGGTTGCTGCTGCCAGAAAAACCTATGAAAACCCACCATGGCTGCCGGCCATGGTGGCTGCCGCCGTTTCACACTATCATCGCCGCCTTATGCCACCAGGTGGGTGGCCGGACTCCTTATGTGAACAGAAGACATATGTGTGCGTGTGTTTATTATAGTGAAGTGGTGTTTGGGTGTTTATTTGGCCTGAAAAGTCACCACCACCACCGTGAGGTGGTGGCTGCCACCATCTACCACCGCCGGCCACCACAAGGTTGGTTGTGTGTGTGAGTGTGTGTGTGTGTTATTTGGATATTGTTGTAAATTGTATTGTAAGACTGGAATAATCAAGAAAACGACCCGTCACCACCGTGAGGCGGTGGTTGCCACCTCACGCAGCCACCAGCCGCCACCTTGGGTGACTGTGTGTTTTTGTGTGTGTGATTGTTATTTTGGGATGTTTGAATATTTTAGCTAAGAATCATAACCACCACCACGAGGTGGTGGCCGCCGTCGTGAGCCGCCGTTGACTACCACTACCCGAGGTGGTAGTGGGTGGTGCCCGACTAACGAAACCCTAATGGGCCTAGTGAAGCCCTAGTGGGCTTAATGAAACCCTAATAGGCCCAATGAAGCCCTAATTGACCTAAAATCCAACCCATGTGACTAATGGGCTGGTATTTGGGTTGGAAACCCTAATGTCATGAAACCCTAATTTTTGGGAATTTGATCGGGACCCGCACGTGACTTATTTATTAAACTTAAAATATTAATTAATAATCATTTACAATTAACCTAAGTCAATATTGGACTTAATGGATTAAGTCCTTAATGGGTTAAGTAGGAACACTTAACCCTAATCGTCATTTCATGTGAAAACCCTAATTTCACTTGGGCCTTGAGTTGGGCCTTTCTATTGGGCTTTGGTGATTGGACTATGGATGAGCTATCCAAGAATAAGTAAATAGACCAAAATAATTGGATAGGCTTAAGGATAAGGCCCATGTGAAAGACTTGGGCCCAATTTGGAAAATTGGGCCATAGGTGGGCCATAACTGGGCCTTGATGATTATGAGGTATCGGGCCATTGGAATACCAAGAGTTTGGACTAGAATAAATGGATGGGCCTTAAGGAAAGACCATGTAGAGGTCTGGGCCCAATTTGGAAAATTGGGCCATATGTTGGGCTTTGGCCCATTACTTGAATTTTGGGCCTTTGGAGTGTGAGTTGGACCTTGGGCTTGGAACCCAATTATTAATTGGGTATTGTTTGATGTTGACAGTTCAGGAATCTGTCAACCAGCAGCTGGAGTTTTATCCGCGGGACTTCAGCAGTGCCAAGTGAGTTCTCCTCACTATATCGACAAGGTCTAAGGCACCAAGGCCGGCCCTTTGGATTGTTATCCTGGTTATAGTATGTTGTTATGATCTGTATGATCTGTGCTTGTTTGTTGATTGATTATGTGTTATGAGTATGTCGGCATATGTATGTGTATGTTTGGGTTGAGGCGGTCCAGCTTTGTGCTGAAGGCCAACATATCCAGGGCGGTCCGGATAGACTGAAGGCCTGCAAGGCGGTCCAGTCAGGCCGAAGGCCCGGTGAGCGGTCCGGATAGGCTGTAGGCCCTGCGAGGCGGTCCAGACGTACCGAAGGCTCGGAGAGCGGTCCAGATAGGCTGAAGGCCTACGAGGCGGTCCAGTCAGGCTGAAGGCTCGTTATGCATACTGTTTGATAGGATTAGTGATCTGTTAGTTCTGCATCCTGGTAAATAGGATAGTACTATGCTTATTGATCTGTTAGATCTGCATCTTGGTAGTTAGGATGGTGTAATGATTAGTGATCTGTTAGATCGGTTTGACTGTTATATATGCTAGCGTATGATATTTATGTGCACATGTTTGTTTGATTGGGGGTTGGGTTGAGGCGGTCCTGCTTTGTGTTGAAGGCCAACATACCCAGGGCGGTCCGGATATACTGAAGGCCCTGCAAGGGGGTTCAGTCAGGCCGAAGGCCTGGCGAGCAGTCCGGATAGGCTGTAGGCCCTACGAGGCGGTCCAGACGTGTCGAAGGCTGGGAGAGCAGTCCAGATAGGCTGAAGGTCTGTGAGGCGGTCCAGTCAGGCTGAAGGCTCATTATGCATGTTGTTTGCTTATATGTTTATATGATATGGTTATATCTGTATGGCATTGGTATTTTGGGGGTAACTCACTAAACCTTCGAGCTTACATTTATCGATTATTGTTTCAGGTACTTCTGATGATCGCGGGAAGGGAAAGTTGTGATCGTACAGCTCCTCATATTTCATGATTTTATGATTTGATTCTGGGGATACTCTGATGTTTAAACTATTTTGAAAACAAATTGTAATAACATAATGGTTTTAAATGTTTTAAAAAGTTTTAAATTGGCTTGAATTTTTATGAATGTTACAACTTTACTGTGGGTGTGAGGTAGGGATGAGAGTGGGTCCAAACCCGGACCAGGAAAACCCGGGAACCGGTTAACGAGATTTTTTAGGATCGGAAACCGGACCGGTATATAGGAACCGGTTCCGGTTCGGTTCCGGGTAAGGTACCGGGCAAAAGTGGGTCTAGAACCGGAAAACCCGGAAATATCAAAGTGGGTCGAGTGGAACCGGGTAAAGTGAGTCTAAAACCAAAAAACCCGGGGAACCGGGTAATGTGGGTCGAATGCATGTTTTAAAATTTCACAAAATACAAAAACAAAGCTGAGAAAAAAAATCGCAGCTTTGATATCTCAACTTTGGGAGACTATAAATCAATGAATATGAAACCAAAAATGACAAAATTATAGTCTAAAATCATGTACAAAATCTATACTACACTTTGGAAAAATGCGCATGCTATTCCGACTTCAAACGAATTAAATATGCATGTTTTAAATCTATCACGAAATAGAAAGCAAGCTGAAAAACATAAAATTTTCAGCTTTGATATCCCAACTTTGAGAGACTATAAGTCAATGAATATAAACCCAAAAATGACAACATTATAGTCTAAAATCATGTACAAACTATAAAATAAACTATGGAAAAAACCTCATGTCAATCCGACTTTAAACGAATAATATATGCATGTTTTAAAACTATCACAGAATACAAAAAAAAGCTGAAAAACATAAAATTTCCAGCTTTGATATCCCGACTTTGAGAGACTATAAGTCAATGAATATAAACCCAAAAATGACAACATTATAGTCTAAAATCATGTACAAACTATAAAATATACTATGGAAAAAACCTCATGCCAATCCGACTTTAGACGAATATTATATGCATGTTTTAAAACTATCACAGAATACAAAAAAAAGCTGAAAAACATAAAAATTCCAGCTTTGATATCCCGACTTTGAGAGACTATAAGTCAGTGAATATAAACCCAGAAATGACAAAATTATAGTCTAAAATCATGTAAAAACTATAAACTATACTATGGAAAAAACCTCATGCCAATCCAACTTCAGACGAATGAGGTATGCATGTTTTAAACTTTTCATAGAAACCGGTTCCGGCCCCTAAAACCGGTTCCGGTTCCTTACACGGTTCCGGTTCTTAAACCCGGTTTACCCGGACCCGACACCCGGATTACCCAGAACTCGGATAGAGCCACTCTTTAAACCCGGGACCCGGACCGGTTTTACATATTCCGGTTCTTCCGGTTTCGGTTCCGGTCCGATTCCGGTTCCGGTCCGATTTTTCGGTTCTAAATCTCATCCCTAGTGTGAGGTGTATGAAGGCGGCTTGCATGGCTCTCAGGGTTGAGGGTGGTAAGCAGGTGATTAGGGATCAGACTGCCACCAGGAAATTCAGGTCTGGCGAACCGAGTACCCTTTTGGAGCATACTCAGGCAATGCATGTAGATGTGAAGTCTTTCCTAGAGACTGATTTTGCCTGCTACCTCCACCTTGGTGAGCTTGACATGGAGGGTTTCCGTCAGCTGTGCAACTATCCGAACGTCGAAGGAAAACATCTTGAGGCCGACACTTATGGGGCTCGGCCTTCTTCCACTCCTCCCATTATGTGATTTTTATCTTCCCCTTAGTTGTTTGTTGTTTGAGACATTGTTCGTATCTTTCCGGTGTTTGTGAGACAATGTTATTAGGTAATATTTGACTTCGTATTGGGCCCTGTGTGGCGTTTCTATGTCTGGGAGTTGTCCGACAGACAATTTTAACTTCCTCACTTTTTGATGTTATAACTTTCCTTAGTTTATCGCGGTTTCTTGTCGTCCTTGGTGGTTCATGTTGGCCACCCTAGGTTTAGGTTTGTCTCGAAGGTTAATGTTGGATTTTGGGGCGGCCGTGCTTTTTGGTTTCGCATTGAGGGAAATTGGTTATCATTCCCATTTGTTGTGTAGATTTGCTGGTCCCAAAACATGTTTCTTAGCTTTTGCCCAGGATCTCGCTCTAGTGGGGTTGTCATTCGTCCCTTTTTAGTGTTCTGGTTTCGCCCTTGTAGGATCAAGGCCTTGGTTTGCCTTTGGTTTTTAACTATGGCTGGTTCATTTTGTTATGGCGCCCTTTTTTAACTAAGGTTTTTTTTGTGTTGCCTTTTCGGGACGTTGCTCTATGTCCTAAGTCAAGGAGGATTGCACTTCGAACACAGTCATCTAAGCCATGCCGAGATCGTCACCTCGAGGCCTGAGGGCTTAGGTATTGTATATTTTGAGGGAAAGATTATGATCCTTTAAGGCCTCTACTTGTCATGGTTAGGAGCTGTGGCTCTTTCGATTTTACTAATGTATTTTTAGGGAAAGGTTATGAGCCTTTGAAGCCTATTGTTTCATTCTTACAACGGTTTTGCTCAAACGATGTGGATGATCAGTCCTTGTTTTCATTTGGTGGACGTGTACAATCTCTTATAGGTGGTGTTGAGCTCGAGTACAAATATTTTAACGGGTATATAATATATATATATATATATATATATATATATATATCTATATAATATATATATATATATATATATATATATATATATACATATATATATATATATATATATATATATATATATATATATATATAGCAAAAAATCAACTTTCATAGTATCGCTAATGATGTTTTTCTTTCTGGGAAGATCTACGTTTTTTTAATAAGGAAACAGAAGTGACTGCTATGTGAGCCAACTCTTGGCCCTTATGTTGTTTTTTCTGGGGCGTGATTATCCATTCAGAGTTTGATGACATTACCCTTACTTCTGATCTTCTTTATTTAGGTATCTCCCTTTGCTCTAGGAATGGTGGTATGATCTGTGTGCGTGCCAAATCCCGGGGGATACATCCCCATTTTGGGCTCTTGGGGTGTGTACTCCCCCTATATTTTTTCTTACAATTCTTCTTGCACGTTCTTTGGTGGACCTTCTCATACTCGCGTATTGCTTTGCTTCGTTGGTTTTTGTGTCAGACTTCGGTGTTCGCGACAATCTAATCGTTACATTGAGCGGTGACACTGTTTTCCCGGTCTTCTCCTGGCTATGTGGTACGTTTCCACCAGGAAGTGGTCCTGCGGCGTCTATGCTTTTGTAGCACTGTTATCGCCTGTGCGTGTTTTACCAGGGTATGATTGTGTCCTTGCACATGCAGGATCTTGATATTTGCGGGTGGACTGCTTTCCCGGGAGTGACCTTCGGATCCTCTTCTATCCTGGTGCCTTCTGCCTGGTTCTTTCGTTTCTTCTTTGTCACAACCTCCATGTTTCCCCGTGTATTATTGTTTGGTGGTAGTTCATCCCGGAGATGATACGAGTGTAGTCTGATTTGACTAGAGGGCCCTTTGGTTTTGTCGATTTGTCCTAAGCTGACTTCTTTTCTGGGAGCTCACTTGGGTTTCCTGTCTATCCATGTGTTTGGCAATCTTTGCTCTATATCTTGATGCTTTTGTTTTTTTTGTTTTTTAGTTTCGCATGAGAGGTGGGCTTCTGGGCCTCTGCGGGGCAATACTTCCTCACCCGGGGTAGGTCGACTTTTGGGCTTTTGCCGTCGTCTGTCATGGCTTTTTTCCGTGGGGTGGTGTGTAAAGAAGTTTGAGAAGACCTAACCTGTGTGGGTATTCATGTCGGATGCCTTTATGGCTCCCGGCTTTCCTTTGTTGTTGCAGCTATGCCCTTCCCCATATTATCTCCCATTAGGACGTTCTCTCCCTCACCTTCTTGATCTTTCCCTAATGGGTACTGGAGCTGAATTCTCCCGTCCATGATGGCTTGCCCTTCGCTTTTTCGTGACATGTGCGACCTCCAGTGTGACGATAGCTTTACGACATTGTGTTTCGAGGTTGAAGGCGATGATCGTGGATGATCCAGTGCGAGTGTTGAATTTCACTATGACGTGGATTGTCGACGGTATGGCCTAGAACTAGAAAATTGTTAGCCGTCCGAGGAGCATGTTTGTGTCAGATGGGTGGTTTACCACTAAGAATTCTATCACCCTCGTGATTCTTTCCTTCCTGTCGTGATAGACCAGGGTGAGGGGAGATTTATGGTGCCCACCCGGCCACAGCTGGTGACATGTGAATCCTACTAGCGGGCCTTTGGTTGTTTGTTTTAATCCTTCTTTCTAGGGGGTCGGGAGCTCGCGGAAGCAATGCATATAAAGAACGTACGTGATGCTTCCGTTGTCAATTACTACTTTGTAAATCGCATTTGGCGCACGTAGGCATTTATCACAAGCGGGTCCTTGGGATTCTATTTGGGCATTCGGGGATCTTCTAAAGAAAAAGTTGATGTTATGGGTGTTCTTCCGTACTACTTCGATGTCATTGTCTGCTTCCTAGGGGTCGCGTCCTTCTTAGAGCCTCGTGATGCTCAAAATTTCTCCTTCTTTACCAGACGCTTGTTGGTGTCTTTCTTAGCTCGTGTCTCCTTGGGATCAACGTCGAATTTGGATCTCAAATCTTTCGCTATATCCACAAGGTTACCGGTCAATTTTTTTTTCTCCCACTTCTTTTTTTAGCATTGTGCATTCACCGCTGTTGTGGGTATTACTCTTGTGATACTCACATTATTTCCCTTTCTACTTCTCTGTTTTTACTGGTGTTTTTTCAACAACATGTACTTCGGATCTGTTTCCTCGTGACTCGTCTCTGCCGAATGGGCGGAACCTTCGAGACGTGTGTTTCAAGTGTCGGCTGTGTTTATCGTGATGCCCTCCGTAGCGCTCCGATGGTGGGAGCTGTAACGAGTGCCTGCTTCATCTTGTTTGATATATGCGTTTGCCACCGCTTTAATGTTTTCTTCCTTTCGCTCCTCTCCCTCAATTTTCCTTAGGTACTTCTCCACCCTGTATTTGAGCTCGTCTCTTGTTTCGGCACTATTCCTTACATCTTTTTTGATAGAGGGCCGATGAGAAGTCCTTGGTTGAAGGCATGAATTCTTCGTGTCCTGGAACGCTGAGTGTTGCGAGGGTGAACCTATCATAGTACTCTCGTATCGAATCTCCTTCCTTTTTGCTTGCACGCCATGATGGAGTTCGTGTCTCCTCTCCCTTTTTGAAGTAGCATAAAGTTGTTGAGAAAGAGGTATCATAATTGCTCGAAGCTTGAGATACTTCCCGGACGGAGCACTTTGAACCATTTGCTTGCATTCCTCGCTAACGTGACAGGGAAATACGTGCATATGAACCTCTTGTCTATTCGGAGCGACGTTATCTTCCACTCATAGGTGTCTATGTGCACGTCCAAGTCTGTCGTGCCATTGTATTTGGGTATATTTGGGATCATTGGTGAATGGGGTATCTCGTACTGCAGGAGCTCCAGGCAGAATGCAGAGTTGACGCTTCGTAGTGGTCCGTCCATGGAGGGAAAGCCTCCGTATTGCATGGTTTGATGGGCGTAGTACAGAGATTGTTGTATCCCTGGCCATATCCATAGTTTTACCCTTGATTATACCACGTTGTCAGTGGAACATATGGTTGTTGCATCGTGTTTGTGTATGTGGGTTGTTGGATGGTGAGTTAGAGTCCGACTGCTCCAGCATGCGTGAGTTTACCCCATGCTCCGGTGCTGTTTGGGCATTTTGGCTTTATGATTGCGGAGCTTGAGGGAGAACTCCTTTGAAGGGACGGAATTAAGGGTTAAACATCGTCCTGTTGTGCAAAGAGTGGGATGTGTGACATGCTTGCTATAAGGGAACGTTGGTGAGTCGTCGTTTGTTGCTGTGACAAGATCGCTACATTACTTTTTTGTCCCTTCTGAGCCGACAAGACGCGAGGCATACGCCATGTTGTGGACCTCCTTCGCTTTTGGGCCACTTTTGGGCCTTTTGGGCTAGTTGGGCCATTTTGGGGTTTTGGGCTTTCATATTTACGCCCAGTAAGGGAAGGCTAAAATGGTCTTTTACCCTAGGAGTCGGGATTAAAGACTTAGTCTCTTGGATATGGTTTATGCCCTAATTATTAGTTAGGATGTTATTTGATTGTATTTAGTGCGGAGATTTCCCAGATTAGAAACCTGCGCATTTATCTAATTTTTCAGCAGCTTGAGGTGAGTCGAAGGTACCAATGCCGACCCATGGATTATTGTTATATGTATGCTATTTGTCTGTGTAGCCTTACATGTGTGTATGTATTGTATGTATTTCGGGCGGGGCCTGATGGGTGTGTTGGGCGGGGCCCATCACATGATAAAGACAGATCTATTCCGAGCAGGGCTTGATACTAGGTGGGGCCCGATGGATGTCGGGCATGGCCCATTGTATGTTTGATATGTATGGTATGGGGTATTTTGGGGAACTCACTAAGCTTTGTGCTTACGATTTTCAGTTTATGTTTCAGGTACTTCCGGATCGAAGCGGAAGAGCTTGGGATGACCGCATCGCGCACGCCATGATTTTTCACTTATTTGACTCTGATGTTTTTTCGATGATTATGAATACATTATGATTTCCATTTGGTTTTACTAAACATGTTTGGTGATGTTTTAATTAATATGAAAACAAAAAATTTTGGTTTTAAATTTGGGATGTTACAAGTTGGTTTTGAATTTTGGGATTTTTCACTTATTTGACTATGAAATTGCCTCAGACAGCACGT